AGGGCCGGTTAGAGCCATCGAACCGGTGATTAAGGGCTCAGTATAGGTGATACCGGGGCATTTGGACCGAGTATTCAGGACCGGAAGAGGAAACCCAGATTGGCCCGAAGAATTGGAGCCCAATCGTAGTCTAAATAGTGGCCCAAGTGAGCCGCCCGGCCAAAGAGGCTGGCGCCCGAAGGCGCGCCCGGCCGGACTGGAGAAGTTAAGGCTGACGCTCTCCACAGGGAAACAAGTCTTTTTTACTCCTAATTAATTATTATAATCTAAACTATCTAAGTAGCCAATATTTATATTCGAATAAGAAACTAAACTACTAAGATTGAGAATAGGGAGAAAACAATATATAAAAGGATCTAGGGCATAGGTTCACCAATAAATAATACTCCAGGGTAAAACATAGTAATCAATCATTGACATTGAATAAATAACACGACTAACAGGCTCTCGCAATTTATTAATCAACATAGATCTAACAGGCTTTCGCAATTTACTAGATCTAAGTTCTTATTGAAAATAGCCTTTAATATCAAATCAACATCTGCTCGATTTATCAATTTAATATTGCTATACTTTTTACAAGCCGCAATTGTAAAACGTTAAAACAATTCAATAAGAAATTATCATGCAATACCAATAATCAATAATAGTCAATCATCAATGCATTAATTAACCAGATTGTAAAGGACTTTCGCTACGTATTACAATCACACAATTAATTTACCGGTATTAAATCTCATCTCTCGAATCTCGACTTAACCATTTATAAATTAATCTGCCTATTGAAACTAGACCTAAACATCAACTCTCATCTTTCGAATCTCGAATCGATGTTGTCAAACTCATGCATAAAAGATAGGCCTAATCTAGTCACAGAGCATAAAAACAATCAATAGGAAATTAATCTAGCATTGATAATTAACAACAACAAATTACCCCTTCATATTATTTAAGGATCCCCATAAACCCTAGAAATAAAACTACTCGCACATATTAAAAACTAAACTAATTAAAGCAATAAAATAAGTCATGATGAAAGGAATAAAATAAACAACTAAGATTAAGAGAAGAGAAATCGTTACCAAAATAAATCTGGAATTAAGAGTAGATTAAGAACAAAGGTTTTGGAGAAAGAAATCTAAGAGAACGATTAAGAGAGTAAAGAAAGAGTCAAAGAAGAAGAGAGAGTAAAAAGATGATCCTAAAATCGCATTACGGAGAAGTATTTATACTCCGTATAAATCCTAAGCTAAAACAAACTAAAACGACGATTATCGTCAACTAATAAATACACGCGCCCGATCGGGCGAGGCACCGCCCGATCGAGCGCGCCTTTTTGTCCCTATTACTAATCTTGCGCCCGGCCGGGCGCGTCACCGGGCGCCAGCCTTAACTTCTCCCGCCCGGTCGGGCGCCAACCTCTTTGGCCGGGCGGCTCACTTGGGCCACTATTTGGACTACAATTGGGCTCCAATTCTTCGGGCCAATCTGGGTTTCCTCTTCCGGTCCTGAATACTCGGTCCAAATGCCCCGGTATCACCTATACCGAGCCCTTAATCACCGGTTAGATGGCTCTAACTGACCCTGGGCTATAGAATCTAGTCGTGCTTCTTCAATGTTCGTGATTGCTCCAAAATATCTCGGGAAAATACTCCAAAAGCATAAATCCCTGCAAAAGTCAACCAAATCTACGAAAACACTAGAAAACACCAATTAGTAATAAAAGTGGCTCTAAAGAGCCAAAAACATTACTAACTACGACCAAGGGACGGGGGTAAAATACTATATAAAATAGACACATCAACGGGGTGTATAAATAGGTAAACACCATTGTTTAACCTACTTACACATCCCTTCTATTGAACAACAAAAGTTATATTACATTATACACAAGGTCTTAGGGCACTTAGTGCATATCATTGAAGACTCATACAGTGGAATACAAGCTCACACATAGGACACACAAGCAATCTCATCTACCCAAATAGGAAAATAAAACACAATATCAAGTTATATGGCAAAAACAAAAGGCATTATAACATCATACTCCCATCATTCATCATTGACCTCAGAAAGTCACAATCAGTAAACATAATGTACTATTACCTAATAGGATAATTGTAAATTGTTCAATAATCTGAACAGCTAAACAAGAATACCATTAGCAATAGTACACTAAGTCAGTTAAAGGACATGTTATTAGAGGTCTCAGATTGTTAACTTTTTATCATAAAAGGCAAATTGAGCAGCCAAATCAAACTTATATCATGCATTATACTTCCTTAAGGAAAATGGTACCTTGTGGTCAAAATGAAATGAACAAGATCCTATATGCCTTCTCAATGCACAAAAGCTCTCATCACAGACTTCATCCAAGGCAGAATTTCATCATGCACAACAACAGGAAGAATATGCAACACAAACCAACCAACCATGACTTAATAAAAAAGACCCAAAACAAAGTACAGTTATAGGCAACAACAATGCACCCAAAGATAATGCATAGGCAACCAACAAGGTATATCAACAAGGCAACCAAACATCATCAAGGTTATATAAAAACAATAGGCAACATATCCAACCAATCATGATAATAGACAACAAAAGTAATAGGCAACCCACAAGGCATATCAACAAGGCAACCAAAGATCATCATCATCATCAATAACAAAAATAATAGGCAACCAACAAGGCATATCAAGTCCTCATGTTCTAAATACAACCAACCATCATATTCAAATCTTCCCAATCTCAGGGAAAAAAAAAAAAGAAAAAAAACAACAACAACAACAACAAAAAACACCAAGGCATTCTGATACTTAGCTGTGTGATTCATTATCCGGATCCTTTTTGTGGGACATAGGCATCTTAGAAGGGGACACCATCATCATCATTTGAGTCTGAGAAATCAGAATCAACATTGTCATAGGGTCTTGGCAAACCCTTCTTCCTGGCTTGCCTTCTGAACTAATTATGAGGCCAAAAGTAAGTCTGCAGGTGGCATACCTTCAGGGACAATTCCAAATCTTATTCTCAAAGTTTCATTGTTGTAATTGTGCTCCCCATCACAAGCACTGCCTAATTCACAGTCACGGTTAGTGCATTGGTAGGTCTCAGATGTGTAGTGTGATCTGGAATCAGCAAATAGCCTGTCACAGAGTGAACCAATTTGTTATCCCAAAGGAATTCTAACAGGGGACTTCACAAGAGACTTGGCAGGATTTTGAACAGGGGATGTAGATGGGAGTTTTGCTGGAGATTTTGGTGGTTTGGCTGGAGATTTGGATGGTTTATCAACCTTATCCCTGCTTGCCTTCTGCTTTCTATACATTTCATAGTTGTGGGTGTGTTGAGAGTGTAATTCTTCTGAACTAGGGGACTCAATCATGATCATAGGCAACCTGAAAAGCAAAAGCAACCAGGGGACTCACTCAATCATGCCTCAATCAATATGCAAGCACTCAACACAGCCAAACATCACAACCAGCAAGTATAAATGAGTATACAAGCACTCAAGACAACCAAACATCAAACCAGCAAGTATAAATGAGTATGCAAGCACTCAAGACAGCTAAACATCAAACCAGCAAGTACAAATGAGTATACAAGCATTCAAGACAGCCAAACATCAAACCAGCAAGTTTAAATGAGTATACAAGCACTCAAGACAGCCAAACATGTAATCAAGAGGCTATAACAATGGGTCCTTTGTTCTTGTTTCAACCATGAAACATTCAAACAACAGGACTCGTGTTATAACAATGTCAACAACTACAATAAACCTCTAACATTGTTTCATAAGTGATAGCCCTCGTACATTGAACAATGAACAATACATGCAATGAACAGTAAACCCTAAATCAAGTGAACAGTGAAACCCTAATTCAAGTGAACAATTAACCTTTCTCAAATTCAAAATCACACATCCTCAACAAGGCCACATAACAATCGTGATTTATGCTTGATATCAACTAACCAATTTGTACTAACATGATCAACAACTTCACATAATCCGTAAAAATCATGAATTAAATTGAAAAAAAACTCACGAAATCACAATCATGATTTAGGGCAAATATTTAAAATCGCAAACACAAATATTCACATACGAATCATGATTTAGGGCAAGAATTTAAATTCCCAATCATAGTAATGGACAAAATCAAGATCCATGGCAAAGAAGTACAGTAAATCAAAATTATTCCGCATAATCAAATTATTTCAAACAAAAAAAATTGAAAACATAATCAAGATTCAACAATTACTCTGTATAATCAAATTATTAAAAAAAAAATCAAAAAATACATATACAGGAAATTGAAAAAAAATCGATACCTATCACCTTTAAAAAGGACGGATTCACAAAATTAGTTGAGGGCTTTGATTTGTTTGAACAAGTACAACACCAATACACAATTTTTCCAGCGATTTTGAACTCCAATTAAATTGCCCAAATTGAAGAGAGAGAAGGAAGAAATTAGTCGTTTTTCAATGGAAGAGTGTAGAAAAATAGTGAAATGAAGAGAGAGAAAGCAACGTTACAAAGTGAGTCAGAGTACCAAAATTCAAGGTAGACAATTCATTTAATTAAGGCACAAGTACAAAGGCAAATATAAGGGTATTTTCGAAAGCACACATAATACAACCAAAAAAATGACAGTGTATAGGACATTTTGTGTTATTGTATGGCACCTGAAATTGTGAAATGTGACTAACATTTTGGGTGCCAAAAAATGGCAAAAGTGGCTATCAATCGAGGACGGAGGGAGTATATTTTACTTCACAAAAAGTATTCATTTCTAAAAGCCTATCTTAAGTTAAATTCATATCTCATTCAAGTGAAATCAACTTTTCAAGATCCAATGTTTTAAAATAGAGTGTAGCTAAGAGTTTGAGACAAGTCAAACTTGAGTTGGATTCGCAATAATTCCGCATCATAACCACCCCTAGTCCGGAGATGCAATTGAACAGCAAAAACAGAAAAGAGGCAAACATTTCCGTACAAAAAAATAAACAAGGTAGATTAGGACTAAAACAAACTGCAACGTGACACCAGAAGACATGTTATATACTAGTATGCACCAAAACCACAGTTTCTTAATTTATATACAGATCCAATACAAAAAATGACAATCTTTCTGTATATAATACAGTGTTTGAACTCCTCATCCAGCAATTTCACCTAGTAGTTGAACAACTTCATCTTCATCAGGCTCACCTACTGCTGAAGAAATCAAAGACGCTGACTGAATCTTCCCAAGATGATCAAGCCGCATGAGAATAACACCCCTGAAAGAAGAAAATGAGAAACATGTTTAGATCAGCAAGCCGAAACTAACATCAAAATTATCTTGGCCAAGACAGCACTCAACACCAGAATTCTTTTAGTTACCTGGCATAACGTGATTGTATCGAGATATCACGAACTTTAATCCTGTTGATGGTTCCGCTCTGGCTAACCAAGATGATATGTTCATCACTTTCTCCATCTTCTGCCAAAGGGATGCAAGAGTATAAAGTTAATAGGAGTCAAATTTATACGCATGAAAAGATTAGAAAAGAGTAGCATACTTAAATGCAAGATTACCTGAGAGTGAAAATCCTACTACAAAAACAGCAGCTAATTGGTCTTCAGATGCAAACTGAAAATGCACATGAGATTTATATTTACAATCATACCCAAACCAAAATCCACTAAAATTGTTCAAGTAGATCCAACTTACTTTATATCCAATCAAACCAACCCTATTTAGGGGTGACAGGCGGAAGCTGCTCAATGGAACCCGCTTCCCATAGCCGCTTTCTGAAACAAAAAGAAGCCATGGACCACTCGTTCCCTTCTTCCTGCATCAAACAAACACATATTCTTATAAGCTGCACACTTGCAGAGTTACTTTACAATCTAAGGTAAAGAAGCTAATATAAGAGACCACAAGGAAAAGATCAAGCAACTCCTCAAATGCCTCAATAAGGTGCAGATAATCTTACCATATACCATATTCATCTACATTTTGGTCCAACTCTTTTCTAAATGTTGCAGGTATGATATCCATGCTTGCCATCTTATCCCCATTTTTTAGTTTCATGGCAGTTGTACCTCTTGTATTTCTTCCAAGGGATCGAATCTGGAACCAATAGTACGACAACACGAGTAAATAACATCCAAGGCATGCTATTTCATTATTGAACAGCACCACTGCAGCATGATCAAGTATTAAGTGCACAACAGAAAGTGCAGATATCCAGATTATTATAACAAAAAGTATGTCTAGAAAGAGTTAAGAAGTTGGTACTTGGCAAACATAAACTAAAAATTGCTAGTATGTTCAGTATCAATAGCTTCAGTAGAGTAACCAATTCAGTAGTGGTAAGCCCAAGCGATTAGTATGTTGTTCTTATCAACTTTCAGTTTAATCATGTATATTCAGTAACTGTAACACACCTAACACTACCAACTGAGTAAGCTAATAGATCTATTTTAAATTGAACTGCTAAAAAGTTTATAGCACATTCCAAATGCTCTTTGCATCAACAGAAGAGCTATAAGTACTATTAAAAGCATCACTACTTTGGTCCTAGTAATGGACTGAAAGTGACCAGATCAAACCATTATATTACACACTTTAGGCGCCAAATAAAGTCATGAATTTCATACACTGTTAGATACGTGGATCATCTATGCAACTTACAGTATCACCAGAGCTAAGAATGACCATTCCATTTTGGGAAGCCATTGCAATTAGGTCATCATTTGTGCAACACCGTACCCATTTCAATTCATCATCTGGAACCTGTCAAATAACATGCGGAGCATATAAATAAAACCTTAGCTACTCGTACTTGCTGAATGGAAAGTAATACTTAAAATAATTGAATAGCAGATTATGCATAAGAGAAGACCGACCAACTGTATAGCGATTATTCCTGTTGATCTGATTGATGAGAAATAGTTCAGTGACACTTTCTTGATGTACCCATTGGCTGTGAGCATTACTAGATATTGGTCATCAACAAATTCACCCACGGGAATGATGGATGTTATTCTTTCACCATCTGACAATGACAAGATCTGACATCCAAATAGAAATCAGAAGAGACCACAAATATTCCATGCAAACTAAATAGTTACATGTACCTGTATCAATGGTGTGCCGGCAGCAGTGCGTGTACATTCTGGAATTTTATATGCACGGGAAGAGTAAACGATACCCTTATCACTGCAAAACAAATCATGCAGAACAATTCAGTATTAAAACAGCTGCCTACACACACACATGATCAAATAAAAAGAAAAACGCATACGATCAAATAGAGGACCTGAACTAGAGATTTGAATGAAGCATTCAAGGCTAAGGATGCATGAAATTAAGTCCAATCATGACTCATGAGGACAAAATACATTGAACTGCTAGAAGAATTTTCATACCTGAAGTAAAGTATATGATCATGAGCATGGCAGACAAGGAAGTCAGACATCATGTCATTCACTCGCATTTTCCCAACAGATTTACCTATAGTTCCACGTCCTTGAGCAGCAAATGTATTGGGTTTCATTCTCTTAACATAACCCTTTTCACTGATAGCCTGGAATATAAAGGGTATCAATAAGATTGAATATTCAGCAAGAGGAAAAATAAGACAGTCCAGCACAAATTAACTACCAAGATCACTTCTTCATTGGGAATAACATCAATGTCGTCCACCTGACCACCTTCGTCATCATCCAGCATGGAGCGCCTGGGAGTTGCGAACTTGTTCTTCAGTTCAATAGCCTCTTGTTCAATTAACTACAACATAGCACATACAGTAGGTTAGCTGTTAGCAACTTTGCAGCTAGACTAGTATTCTTCACTTGACAAAGCAATAGGCAAATGAGAAGAGCATAAAACTAAGGTTCCTAGTATGATAGATTATAATAGTTTTTAAAAAGTTCTCCACACTGGTAGAAAGAACATCATGTGATCTAGATGGAACAAGGCATGTTGGAGATAGGTAACTTGAAGATGGAAACAGAAAAGAAATGGGAACAAGGACACGGAAACAACCCTTAAATTGGAAAACAGGAATGGTAATTAAAAGATTTCTTAAGAAAAAAAAGTTTACTAATAGTTTGGCATAGTTTTGAAAATCAAATCAACAGACACTTCTAATCCTATTCTTATAATCCCCTAATTTTGTCTTCGGTTAAAAATAGTTTGGAAATTCCATACTGACCAGTGGAAGTTGAAGGAGCAATGTGTAAATGGTATCACACAAGAATATTGAACAACATTTCTGTCTTTACCTGAAGAATTTGTTTCTTGCTCGACAATAACTCTTCCAATTTACAGATTTGTTCCATCAGCGATTTACCCTCATCAACAAATTTGTTTCTCTGGCAGCATCAGAAAGATTTACTGTAAGTATACAAATAGCAGGTGCATGTAGCCTAGCATATTAATGTTTGGAGAAAGATTTGCAGCACACCTCAAGAACAGTAAGCTTTCTTAGATTAATATCCAATATAGCTTCAGCTTGTTTCTGAGACAAACTATACTCTGCAAAAGTGGAACGTTAATATAATTACTGACATACTATTTTCGTTCCTTTGAGTTAGTTGCAATTACTATTTGCACAAAGATTAAAGAGGGTAGGAGAGATAATATTATAATTGGAGTTTTATGTAATAGAAAATAGGAAAGAGAGTGTTTAAAATGGATTTATAAGAAAAAAAGTAGAAAATAGAGTGTTGCATGTGATGTAGGTAAGGGGTAAAAGTGTAGAATACTTTACCAGAAATGGATGAGAGAGGAAGTGCAACCAACACAAAGGAATGGACAAAAAAAGAAAGAGTAACTACTAACCAGAGCAAAAAAACTTGTGTAGACCTGAGGTTTATACGCGCACAACTAACGTTGCATTGAACATAGTGGCCTTAACTTTAACATAATAACCTTTATTAAAATTTCTGTGACCTTTAATATTATTGTGAAGCTAAGTACGACATTATGTTGAACATAGTGACCTTTATTATTCATATTGACCACTATATAAAAAATTTCATTAAAAAAATTACCTCTTATTGCCTTTAAAAAACCAAAATGACTTTAATTTCAACATAATAACCTTTATTTTAATATAGTGACCCTTTTTTTATTAATAAAACATCTTAGTGTCTGTAAAATTAGTGGTCCATAATAAATTAATGTGAAGCAGGTCCATTTAAGAGTTTGTATAACGCGAGATACCGAGGTAGTATGTAAGTAAACCTCGCGTAGACGTTAAGACAAATCTAAATAAACCTCGCATGACTATGTTTTATCTTTAGATTAAATGACTAATAAAAGTCAAAGTAACCTTAATAGTGCCAAAAGTCAGAACAAGTAAACAAAAACCAAAGGAAGTATTATAAAAAAAAATGGAAAATGTCTTAGAAAAAAATATCTTAGTTTACACTATTCATTTAATTGACTTATTTTGTCAATTAGAACTTTAATCATTGTCTTTTTCAAAACTATACCTTGTTTCATTTTTCCAGTGAAAAAGTCAATTTTCCGGCAAATGACTTTTTCCGACTTTTTCTTAGTGTGTGTAACACTTTACACTCCCTTCTTTAATTTCTTTACCTCACACAGTAAACTCCCTCTCCCACTAATGTATTGGCTCCAATTCTTATCCATCTGTACATCCTTGTTGCTTCTTTTGATCGTCTTCCTTGAGTTCTTTCTCCCTACGGGTTTCCTTTCTTTTTATTCATTTTTTTTTTAGGCAAAATGCTGGAAACTAACAAGGTTTTTTCAATGAACTTTCAAAGACCTGAATCGAATAGTTTAATCAAATTTATACTTTCTTCTAGTTTTTATTACAATTAACACAGCAAACATCCTTTTCCATCCAACAAAGAAAGGGATTAAACCCTAAACGTCCAGATATGTAACACAATTGGAACAAGTACGTACCACCAAAAACACCTACAGCTCCATTCCTCATGCTCTTTTAATTTTTATTGAATGACTTGCTTATAATCAGAAGATAACATAGAGAAAAGGAAGGGGAAAAAAGAAAGAAAAAACAGTGAGAAGAAAGGCGATTAAGAAGGGAAAAAATTTGGAAGAGACAGATTTAAAAACAGAGATCAGATGCGAGCTTCACCCACACAAAAATGGGAGTAGTAAAAAAGGTCAATAGCTTAAAATTTGACTTCTCCACTGGAAAAATGAAATGAGGTACTTTTGTAAAAGGAATGAATTTAAGGTACTATTAAACAAAAATATAAATTTCAAGTAAGGTACTAGATGGTCTAGATCACAAAACAAGCACAAAAATAAGGTACTTTTTGACAAATTTTCCTATAAACAAATCTCAATCACTTTTACCTAATATTTTCAGTTTTTTCAGGAGTTATTTGCTTATTTGTTGATAGTCCCTTCAAGATCATCAGAGGTTAACTCTACCATATACAAGTGTAACTGAATTCTAATTTGTTGACGAAAATTAACATCACACTCATACAAGATGCCCTCCCAAATACAAACTCAGAAGAAAGTTTCAAACAAATCTAAAATCAACCCCTCTTTTCCAACATCCCTTAAACAGCATTTAGGTCATCAAAATCCAGTTTCTAGAGACGCGTATTTATCGTTAACACAGTTGTTACTTGTCTCATGATAGAAATGATTCCCTTAAATTAAGTACTCCCTCCATTCCTTAAAAGGTCTTCCCTCTTTCCAATTCAGTCCTTCTGCCCCTGTTGGCTTCATTACAACTTTGACAAGAAAAAACCTCTTCTCTATACCCCCACTATCCATCTCCTTAGACCTGTTTATACCCTACCCCATTCTGCCTCAACTAAAATCACCATATCACCAATCTATTGTTTCTTTCTCTCTCTTATCTTCCCTCTCTCTTCTTTTTTTAACTCTCCTCCCACCTCCATTAGCAGATCATAATCCCTCATTCTTGCTCACTCAGCTACCTAATAACAGCAGGTTACAAAACTTACATATTAGCCAACTTTCAATGAGTCAATGCATTAATTTATTAATCATGACATAATAATTCAGGGTCAATAGGCTCTATGGGTACAATCATATATACCCAATTGTTTGTTCAGAAACTACATAAGAACAATAGGGCCAATCAAATATATGAAAAGCAAATTAGTACTACTACTACAACAACAACATTAATCAAAGACCAAATTATGAGGATTTTTTTTTTTCAAAGGGAGTTGAATGAGAAAGGGGAGGAAGGGAGGATGGGATTATATATAGGGTCCTGTGTTTAAGGGAGGTGCAGTTATTAGTTCTTCACTGGACAGGGTTTGAAGATGCGTGTTTTTACGAAGAGGAGCCCTAGGGACATGGGACAATAAGCCAACTTCTGCCTTTTTCCTTGTTATTGCATACCATAGGTCATACAAATTGCAAATTCAAGATTATTACATTATTTACGTGGAACTGTTTTACACCTTTCGTCACCTTCCGTCAAAGAATATAGTACATTAAACTGGAAAGAACAACCTGACATGATTTAACAAATTGCAAATAAGGTATCAGAAGCTTACTATTCATCAAATCTGCTGATGCCATTGCATTGCTTGATGCTTTCCTGATTACTTGAATAATTTCATCTAAATTATCAAGCCCCACAATGATACCCTTTATATAGAAACACAAGGGGAAAAAAAAAAATCAAACACAAGCTACATATACAAGGAAACCACATAGGAAACATTTCAAGCTTTAACATTTTAAAGTACCTCCACAATATGCTGTCTCGCCTGTGCTTGTGAAAGCTTAAACTGAGCACGTCTTTCAACAACTGAGCACCTAAATTCAAGAAATGCCTGCAAGATTAAAATTCACAAAATCTGAGATGAGCTCAAAACAAGTAGCTAGTAACGTTTTACAAAACTGGAAAGTGTTGGGAACTGTCCGTCATGCATTCATATTCTACACAAAACACAGCTTAACAGACACCATTAAATCCCAGTTTCCACACAAAGCCAGGCTCCATTAGATATCACAGTGAGTCAGTGTCCCTTCTACAATCGATTGTACGGTCAAGTACAATTTATTGAAGAATATTTTAATTAAGTTTGTATTAAACGGCTGGATCCTCCAATAATGATGAATAACCTTCATCTCTTCACTTAAACAATCAACTTTCAGAAAATTGCTCACTTTCCAAGGTGCTCTATCTTTGGGGTTTGGGAACATTTGGGAGAAATCAATATACAAGAAAAAGATATATACTTGTTTTTGGGCGAAAGCAATATAATTAACAAGTTTAATGAAGTCAAGGTTTTCATTCGTCATTGTTACCCAAAGTTAGATAACGATTAAGTTAATCATTAGGATTAATATGCTCAAAAAGGTGCAAGAGAAGAGAGAAAATCTCATCATTTGATACTCCTATAGGAAAAAGTTTTTTCTTACAAGTTTACTGTCCCCCATTTATAAGGTAGCTGCTTCTACTATAAGGTACCCAGGCAGCTTATAATATGAGCCCTTGGAGGACAAACGAATGGCTTCGATTACTTCATAATTTCATAGTAGAAGAGCTATGTTGGAAACTACACAAATACAGGCAGAAGGAAATAAGAATATCAAATGTATGTATGTAGGATAAGGGATAGCAGTCACATCTCAATATACTAAATCAAATTAAGTTACAGTATATCCTTATGCAAACTGCCATGATCTATTTACCTAGAGAAGATTATTTTATGCAGGCCCGTTATGTAATATGATTAGGATTAATTTGAAGATAAAGATTGACATGCTAATATCTTCAGACCAAAACTCCTAGACTCCTAGTACCAAATTTCTTTTCCTTTGAGGACCTGTTTAGATGCAGGAGCTTTAGCATATCACTGACCAAGTGACCATAGTATCTACAAACTAAAACATATTTACATATCTACTTTATAATAGTGACCACAAATTTTACCCCGGTCCCCTCCTTCCCCCAACCCTGTTCTTGCTCCTAGTGCTCATTATAAATGTTTCACCACCTTTTTACTGTTTTCAGAATTTATTTTATCCTTTAAATATTCCATTTAAGAATTACGTTAAATGAGCATATGCTAAAAAGAGTGGAAACAGCTTCTTTTTTTCAGTAGTATGAAATGGTTACAAGGAGCATTGCATACATACAGATCTCCCTTCACCCAACAAACAGTGGCATGTGCTTTTGCTTTTATATTTGTAATTTAGTATTTATATCAGAAGATAAAATGTCAGTCATGTACATACTCAATACTAGTATCCCATAAGTACTTTTAATGGTAGTTTCTAGAAAGCACACAGATGCAACCTGCTAGGACCTCCACAAAGTGAGGGAAACTAAATCCAGACTGACGAAGAATTTCTCGTTGGAGATTGGACCATCTGAATGACTTTATTTATCTCCAATCATAAATCATTAGGTGCAGGCATACACTGCTAGATGCTACCTTTAAGAAAAGAATAATGTAGAACATTTATGCTAGTTCCCTCAACAAATTTATGAATGGGGAAGAGATCAATGTACTTAAAAGAAATTTTTAGCTTTTCTTTGCACTCTTTTGTTCAATTATGAAGATTATGAAATATTGCACACTTGTTAGATTCCCTAAAGAAGTACAGAGGACTTGTTATTTAGCTAAAAGGCATACTTACCAATACATAATAAAGAAAAACTTCCTTCGTTTCTATTTAGGTGACACGTTCAATTTAGGCACACACTTTAAAGAGAGGAGAGAGAATGTTAAAGCAAGCGGGTAGACCAAGTGCTTTAGCTTAGTTTATCAAGTTTGTAGTGGGGTCAACCAAAAATAAGCTTCCCAAAAAGGAACACATGTCAACTAAAACAAAACTTCCCAAAAAGGAATACGCGTCAACTAAAAAAAAAACGGAGGTAGTAAATACTATAAGTAAATAACAGAATCAAATTGTTACCTGAAGCAACTCTTTCAAGCCCATCAGTTTAGGTTGTCCATTAAGAATCCTGTACATTTAATGATAATTAATTATCAAAGGAAGCCTCAGAAAAGAAGTGATCTAGTTAATTCATTAAAAAGGAAAGAGCACATCAAAGTCTATTTAGCAAGGACGGATGCAACTTTACATCATTTTCATAAATTTCAAAAATCATCAGTGGATGAGAAGTATGATGAGGGATACCAGAACTTACCCAACCATGTTGCAATTGAAGCTGGACTGAAGTGCAGTAAGACGGTACAAGTTATTTAGAACAACTGACGGTTCAGCTCCCCGCTTCAACTGCAAAAATGTTATAATAATATGGATAAGTGGATCAGTAATATGGTAACATATTATAGATTTAGCTTACCAACACTAGGAATTCCCTACCTCAATCACTATACGCATCCCAGAACGATCACTTTCGTCACGGATGTCACTTATTCCTTCTAGATTCTGCATAAAAAATAATGGAAACGGTAACATGTCAAGTTAGCATTCAGCATGTAATAGCATGTAGTCCATTTAACTATTTAAGAGTTACATGCATATTAGGCATTAGATACACAAAAGACCAGCAGAAGAATAAGATAAACATTATTCCTCCTATTATCATAGAATCAGGATCTAGTCCACAGTCACATAAGCTCAGTAAAATTTCCATAAGCGCTTATAAACAGCACTCAAAATTTCAGGCAGCCAATTCATGTTATCTATCAAGTATCAACCTCTTCCTCATCCTCCACAACTGGATCTTTGCCTTTATTCCAACTTTTCCTTGACTTTATATCAAATAATAATATAACATTATGTCACTTTATATTACCAATATTAAAAAAATGTTACTCTACAATATCTATGTAATTTTCTTAATGTGTAAAAACTGCTAAAATGACCCAACTACCCAAGACTTGGATCAGAAGGAGTATGTAGACTGCTAGAAATCTCTCCTGTGCAGGCAGGCTTCATTTGGTCAAGGTGTTTTCTCTAGAAAGGAAAAGGCAGTCCTTCAAGAAAGCTCTGGTGTCCTAGAAGCACATGTGTCTTCCAATTTTCCTAGAGTATGTGGGGGCTAGAATATCACTTCTTTGGGTGAATGGAATAAATCCGCAGTGGTTAAGCTTCTTTGGGATCCTTCTCACAAAGCTGACAATACGCAGTTTATATAAGTGCATATATTTATTTCAACAACAAGAATTTATGGTCCGCTGGTATTCCTAAAAAATATTCTTCGGTTATGAAACTCTGAAGTGCCAAGAGTTGATTGATGGTATTGGTGTATGGTCCTCTTTCATTCATAATGGTGACCTCAGTATCCTAAGATAGATTGAAGAGAGGTTTCCTCATGATAAGGCTTCCCCAAAAAGTCTTTTTATTACATGGCTTGCTTTGTGGAACAAGCTGGTTGCTAAGCACAGGTTGACTTTGTGGCATGCTCCTTGTGACCCTCTTTGCTTCTTTTGTTTGACTGAGAATTAGTGTGTGTCTCACTTGATTTTTTCTTGTTCTTATTCTAAAAACATTTGGAGACAGGTGAATGATTTCATTGGTTGCAGGGAGCCTGTGCAGGGGTTTACTGAGGAAAAGCAATGGCTTATTAAGCATTGCTGGAAGTCAAGTGCAAAAGGAAGGGTCTATGGCCATGTGTTTACAGAAGCTATTCACGGCATCTGGATACAGAGAAATACTTTGATGTTCACAGGCAGTTGCAAGTCTTCAGATTCTGTCTTTAGGGATAAGATAATTGTTAGTATAGCACTGATGTATGGTTTTCTATTTTTCCTGGTCCTTTACTTTGAGTGAACCCTTTCCTAGAAGGTGGCATCCAAAGTTCTGAGTCCAGTTGGGGTTTGTGTGGCCTGTTTAGGATGTTGGTGCTTGGTGCTTGGTGCTTGACTGCTTGTTACAGTCTTGCCTTAAGAGGCTGTAATTTTTTCTCCTTTTGGCAATTTGGCCCAAAAAAAAAAAAAAAATGAAAAAAAAAAAAAAAAAAAAAAAAAAAAGAGTATGTTAAACAGTCAATTCTCATTTTACAGCATCAGATCAGTGATTCAGTATCCCTTGCAGGTTAACAACCTCTTTTAACAAGAGACAGAAACAAAAATCTTTAGTTTGATAGCCTTTATAGTTTATACTACCAATTTATACAACATATGGTTGGCTGGATGGTCAATCTTTAATAGCCATCCGGGAAATTTAGAAATTTACTCAAATAAACAAATCTAAGCACATATAAGCAACTTAGAGAGGACAATTGAGATTGAGAGCTTGAAACAAAAAAAAAAATAAAAAAAACATTAGCGTACAGGCATGAGCATATGGTAAAATTATTCATCCACGCATATTGGACATAGTACAAGTTCCCAATTATATGCTTTATAGACCATGCAGTTCACATGTTGGAGGAAAAAGCTACCTTATTTTCAACATGTTCAGCTATCTTCTCAACTAGAGTGGCTTTGTTTGTCTGGTATGGTATCTGTTTCATTTGTAAACACCGCAAATTAGATCATACTTGGGAGGATAGGAAGTATCATTCAAAGAGAAAAGGTAATCACAAGACAGATGCAGACCTCTTTTATAATAATAGCTGTACGTTTAGTCTTAGAATCGAATTGTTCTATCTCAGTCTTTCCTCTTATGACAATGCGTCCTTTCCCGGTCCGATATGCATCAAGGATTCTATAGAGCATTAGACAGAAGTCCAGGTTATAAACCAAAATACAAATACATAACGACTTTTATAAAAGTTATTTTTTTCAAAAAGAAGTTACTAAAGAAACTATTGAATTTGTTTTTAATATTCCACACGTATTAGATTTCTAGTATTAACTCTATCAGTTGGTTCCCTGATCGTTTAGGAAACAACTACAACAACAAAGCCTTAGTTCCAAAATGGGTTAGCTAACATGAATCGACATAAGGAACCGAACGATATTAAAAAAAATAAATAAAAAAAAAAAAAAGACATAACAAGGATAAGGGAATTTGAAAAAGTAAGGAAAAAAGGTGAATAAAGTGAGAAAAAGGAAAAGCATAAGGGAATTTTAAAATAAAAACCAAGAATAAGGTTTAAGAAAGTTTTCAAGGAGTGGTTAAAATGTTGGGAGTAAAAAACATCAGAAAACTTTAGCAAGGGAAATCAATACAGTTCATAAAACATTAGTGGTATAAAATAATAATAAATACAAAAATAAATTTAAAAAGTTTATATATAATCACAACCCTCCACAACGCCTATCCAACACAATTATTTCCTCAATCCCCAAAGCACTCATGTCCCTCTCAATCACCTTTTTCCAAATTTTCTTAGGTTTTTCCCTACCTCTCGCAATCCTAACAGGCTAACACTTTGAACTCTTCAAGCCTCCTTACTGAAGCGTCACTTGGTCTCCTTACATGGCCAAACAATCTTAAGCGATTCTCCCTCATCCTGTACTCAATCGATGTAACTCCTAATTTCTTCCTAATTATCTTATTCCTAAACCGATCCTTTTTTGTATGGCCACACACCCATCACAACATACGCATCTTCGCCACCTTCTTTTTATGCATGTGGAAATGCTTTACGGACCAACATTATGTACCATATAACAATGCAAGCCTTATTGCCATTTGGTAAAAGTTCCCCTTTGATCTATGAAGCACACTGGGATCACATAAAAAATCATGTCGCACTCTTCCACTTCAACCAACTCGCTTTAGCCTATGAGCTACATCTCCATCCAATTCTCCATTATTCACGCACTCTTCCACTTCAACCAACCCGCTTTGATTCTATGAGCTACATCTCCATTTTTGTCTCCATCCTTTTGAATAATAGATCCCGGATTCGAAAAAACTTGAAACCTTGGACAATCTTCCCAAACAAGGTGATCATCCCTGCCTCACTTTTTCTCACACCTCTAAACTTACATTACAAATACTCCGTCTTACTTCTGCTCACCTTAAAGCCACAAGACTCCAAAGTTCGTCTCCACAATTCCAACTTACTTTTCACGCCTTCTTTTGTTTCATCAATCAACACAATATCGTGCACCAGGGTATGTCATCTATGTCATCTTGAATTGAACTCTTCAATTCGTCCATGACTATAGCAAAAAGAATAGGACTTTGTCCATGACTATAGCAAAGGGAAAAGGACTAAGTGTAGAACCTTGATGAACTCCAATTGTAATAGGGAACTCTTCAGTCTTCCCAACAATGATTCTTACACTTATGCTAGCTCCCTCCTACATGTCCTAAATGATGTCAAACGCCTTTCCTTGTTAAAGCCCACCAAAGAATCTCCCTTGTTAAATCCCACCTTATAATACCAAAAATATATTTCTCATCCCTGATTATTTTATCACGAGTTAATTCAAGCAGAATGACATTCCCTTAGTTTCTCTCCCTACTTGTGCTTCTTCCATAACTCTTCTTCCCTTCCCTATCTCACATCTGTCCCTTTGTTACCCATCTGATTCCCTTCTATTTGAATCATTTTTAGTTTATCATATAAACATTTGCATACAATATGAACGAGGACTCATACTTCTCACTTTCTCAATGTCATTCACTACTACGAGATCGGGTATGGATATGCAATTCACTAATATTAGACCAAAATGTACTGCTTTCATGTATAATTCACCTTCTTTTTTAATCTGTGGTGGCATTAGCAAATTAAGTAACTACAGATGGAGAAACATGATCATTTCTCACATTTGGTTTCAACCTTTAAGGTTTGGTTCTTTCTGCCCTAATTTGCTTTGCTGCTGACATACTGTAGTTGAGACAGAAAACATAGTTGAATGTGCCTGAAAGATTTCTACTTAATTGAATTATATTTCATAATATTAACTTCTGTTCTTCCCCTCTTTTCTATATGTTCAAAAATTATTGTTCCTTGTATACTCTGCTCTTCTACTTTTAACATCTTCCATTTGATGGAGGAAAGGGAAAGAGCTTGAGAGATCTATAAGCAACATTGGAGATTAAATAATCATCTCTTATTGATATTTTACCTAAATCTATTAGAGTGTTTCCTGAAGCAAGTGTAGCACTACAAACAAAAATTAGAAAATAAATACAAAAGAAGCAGTCACAAATGATGCAAAAACAAGTCAACCAGGAGGACAAAAAAAAAAAAAATTCCTCCGTTTCTTTATAGTTGCAACACACTTTATCATGGTATTTAAGAAAAGTGGTCCTCACATGACATAATACACTTAAAATGGGTTTAAAATGTTGTTAGGAGTATAATCAAGTGGGCCATGTGCTTTAAATTATGGTAATAGTACAATTTTCACTTTAAAAACCTTCTTTTTATAGTGTGTTGCAACTATTATGACATTTCCATTTTAGGAAAGTGTTGCAACTATAAAGAAACGGAGGAAGTATAAAATAAAATTAAAAAAAAAATGACAACCACTATATAAAAGGAAAGGAATTTATGTTTTTAAAACAGTAACTTTAATAAGATTCCTAAAGAATGGAAGGATTAAACAAGAGATATTTGCCACAAAATGTATAAATAATGCAGGCTTAGGTGGTACGAGGAAAAAACGATGACATTAAAGGGAAAAGAAGATCTGGTAATGGGGCTAGTGGATGCAGGGAAGGATCCCACAAACCAATATTGTCATATTTCTTTAAATCCAAATGGCCTTATCTAACCCATTCTGACCACAGAAATTAATATTTATCCCCGAATTCTGCAACTGCCAAAACACCCAATAAACGATTACACCATTGTCTGTCTTACCAACAACGGTATCACAAACTAAATTATTTTGTTTTAATGTCCTTTTTTTCAAGGGGCATAAACAGTCAATTTACATCCAAATGAATTTGCACTTTAGACAGCTAAATTGCCACAGTAGTGACAAGTAAAACCACCACATCAAAATTAGTTGGTAATTTTACAATATTGGCAGGGGTTTTTTTAACTTCTTCTTCCAGTTTTTTATACAAGAAATATTTATTTTTCCCTAAAATAGAAGTTATGTTAAAATGTTGCCGATCCATTCAGCAGATGTTTCTGTAGTCTAAGGGGAAGAACATGAAGGGACTCCAAAGTCTGAATCTCAAAGTACTTCAAACTTTAATCACTACAAGCAGCAATATTCTAGCGTTCTCCAGCTTCTCCCATCCCTTTAACTCCCAACAGAGTAAAAACAAAAGATACCTAGCAGGAATCAAGCAGGGTAGGTATGCCAGATGCATCATTTTCGTACCCACCCATCAAACCACATCCATTCATGTCCCAACTGAAGGTGATCTAGAGAGACATTTTTCCATCTCATTGCCATTCTGAAATTCATTTAACCCTTCAAAATGTAGGAAGAGAACACAAGAATCCTCTAAAACTCATTTACAACTTCAGTAAATATTCAAGAGGAGCCTATAACTCTCTCGCCTGTAACAGAAATATAGTAGCCACCATATGGATATAGAAACAGATAGGAATCCTGAAATTTTAGTTCCAGTAGCTATAATTTCCAAAATAATCAATTGTCTCTAATATGACCCACTTTCTTTTTCCTAACCTCATAATTGGTTTTTTTTAAAAAAACCTCAAATAACATCAACAGATCTCATAAGCAGATATAGATATTGAAGATTACAATAACACCCAGCGAGGAACCCAGTCAAGCCAAGGCCTTGGAATGTTATGTTCTACACCAGCATTACCCTTGAAAACCATGAAGTAACAATGATTGTGACTTTTACAAATTCCATCAACAAGAACTACCCAAGGAATTCCCTGTTGTTTTTGAACTGTGTCTATATCACAAGACTACAAGAGTGTTCTAACTGTAAGTAAATTCATTTATAGATTCTAAACAAAAAGGATATGATACAGTAAAGATTTTCCATGCAGAAAATAATGCAAACAAACATCTTGTTCAGGTGTTCCAACTGAACAAACTGTATAATCACTACACAAATGACAGAGAAGTCATGCAACATAAAACTTTTACCATATTTAGAAAAGCAACTAAAGCAAGCTTAAATATTAGGTGCGGGTGCTTTTCCTATTAAAAGTAAAATTATATTTTGAAGATGAAAAAGATGGACATAAGCTTACCCAAGGTTACCCATAATAAGACCTCCAGTCGGAAAATCAGGTGCTGGCATGGATTCCAACAGCTCCTGAAGCTATTACAAAGGCCCCAAAACAAAATTAATAGATTTAGCCAAAAAAAACAGAAATCTTAATTATTTTCACATATATGTAAATAACAGTAAGAAAACTTGTACAGAACTGCTATGAACTTTTCAAAAGCATATAAAGCAACATCACCGTGGCATATTATTAAATAAAATGTTAGTTAAAAATTATATCAAGTTTTAGATTGATCAATATATATATATATATATATATATATATAATGGTTAGGATAAGAGAATAATAGAGTTTGATTGTCAATAAATAAATCAAATTAACTCTAAAATGTAAATTAAATACAGCTATGTTAGGTAATTTGAAAATTAACAATTTTTATACCATTGAAAGAAGCTCAAAATACGCTTTTACATAAGATTCATTATTATATGCCTGACAATGTTATCAGGGTAAGAGAGAGAGGGTGAGGGGAGAGAAACTGAGAGAAGGACAAATAAAAAATTAAAGACAAATTACATCTAGAGAAGATTGTGATAATGCAGGTAAACTTTTTTTACAAACCACGTTCAAAGAAGATGGAAATATATACATACATTGATAAAGTTGCTTAATTTTTCTATTGATGAAAATTTAATTATGTTGGTGATTTTCTTTATAAACCTTGAAGTCACTTTTTACCCAAAAATACTTGTTAAAAATAAAAATAAAAGTAAACCACCATACTAGTACAATATAACCACATAACACACGGCTTGTTGCATAGATTGTAGTATATACTCGTGAATTAGCTAAAGGCTCAGAGCAACACTGATCACTAATCATTGGGTGTATTACTTTTATGGGGGGTTTGGTTCACATAGGGTTGACATCAAGAAAGGGAAAGAGAAGGAAAGGAATGAAATTCACCTGAGTTTCACATGTTGTTTGTTTATACATAGGAGAAAGGGAATAACTGTCTTTAGAAAAAAGTAGTTGTTCTCTGCAACTGTACTACATCCATGCCTCTACCCCATCTTGATTCCATGGCTCCACCCCACTCACTGCCCCAAAATTACCAGTCCCACGATTACCAGCCCCACCAGCACCTTCCCATGTCATTACATAACCCACCAACACCACATTGACCACAAAACCCCAGCAGGACCACAACCACCTCACATTTTCGGATCCAAATTTGAGAAAAGGGAGGGGGGAAACGATGGTTATAGGAGGACCACCATATGTCCTCAAGGTACCTCCCAAAACAGCTCACCAACACCACCAAAAAAGGAAAAAAAATAGATCAATGATAACAAGAAAAGAGAGAAGAGGAAAGACAGTCGCTAGAATTGGATAACAGTGATGAAAATTGGAGGACGACAGCGGATATGATAGGTTGACGGTGGCCGCCGATTGTTGATTAAGATTGGGAACCATTGTTGGAGAAAGACAGAGTAGGTAGTGGTTGTGGATAAAGGGAATGAAAAATCCTAGGGGGTATGAGGAATCAACCCAAGAGGACTCTAGGGAAAAGTGAAAAAGGAAATACGGTAGAGGTAACGACAATTTAGATTCAACAAACAACATCAAAGGGAATCAATCCTACTAATTCCCTTACCCTTTGACGAAGACCTAACAAACGGCACCTTAGTATTAGATCAATCTAGACAAGTTAGGGTAATTTATACCACCTCCTTTTTATAATGTTCATAACACATTTCATTTTTATCCATTTTATAATATTTTTGACATATCTCCTTCATTCCATTTTTAGCAAACCCTTTTTACTATTTTACCCCTCATACCTCACAATATTTACACCTTCCCTCTCAACTTTTCTTACACCCACCCATCTTTTTACAATTTCTTAATTTATCCTTTTTTTTTTACACCAAACCACTTTTTACATACACTCTCTCATTTGTATTAATTCTTGTTCCAATAGTAAATGTTATAAACATTATCTCCTTTATTCCTTTTTTTAGCAAATCCTTTTACTACTTTACCCCTCATACCTCACAATATTTACACCTTTCCCCTCATTCTTTTGTTTCCACCTTTTCATACACCCACCCATCTTCTAACACTTTCTTAATTTATCCACCTTTTTCTTACACCCAACCACTTTTTACATACACTCTCATAATGTTATAAACATTATGAGATAAGCTCGAATAAGTTTAGGAAAAGTCAAATAAAAACATTTTAAGAATAGATTTGAGCTCATAAGATAACATAGGAGCTAGTTATCACATTGCTACAAGGCATGGAAAGATATACAAATAGCCAATAGCTCAATCAACAATATGCCATATTCAGATCAAAAGGAAATTCAAAGAGTCCTCTGTAATCATAAAGATAAATTCACTACTTCCAAAAGTTTTCACTTCCATAATTACCCATTGATTAAAACTGCAGAAGCAAAGCATTCATTACCATGAAGAATAAACATTCCTAAATTCTGGTACATCTTTTGAGGACTTCGATCTGTGTGCATATATCTAATAATTTAAAGAGGGGGAAAACTAAAAATGGAAACCAAGCCTCACAAGACTCAAAGCTTATATTCATTGCTACATGAAAGAGAAATAACATTGCAGAAGCATGTAGTGAATCCTGGACTTCCCACAGAGGCTTCATAACATAGATCCATGAGGCAAAGTGGAGGCATCAACAAGTTCTAGCTTTTATGAGTTTATCAGAGAATCTCTAACAAAGGGAGGAACAAGGAGGAATTGAAATTTACATATACCCAAAAGATATTGGGTACAAAGCCTAAACACCACTACCATATTGCATCAAAGATCAAACTAGAGGCATGTTTATCTAAAATATTTGAGGCTTGAAGAGTAGAACTTACTGTAGCCTCTGGATTATGAATCAACACAGAAAGTGCATCGACCAACTCTCCAAGATTATGAGGGGGGATATTAGTAGCCATTCCTACCTGGATACAACGATAAAGCAGCGTTAGTTCAAATTCTTGACCAAAAATTGAACCAGTCGACATACTAAGTATAGGTGCAAGGAGGATTGATAACATTGATAAGATTATAATACAAACAGTACCGCTATTCCAGAAGAACCATTCAACAATAAATTTGGTATACGAGAAGGAAGCAGTGATGGCTCTTGCTGTGAGCTATCGAAGTTAGGAACAAAATCTACCTGCATCAATAACAATAGATTAATAAGTAAAACTCTAAAGCATAGAACTTGGTAGTATAAACTCTTGAGAGTGATTTGACAGAGAACTGACAGTATTTAGGTCTAAATCCGCCAACAACATTGCTTCAGTTAATGCCTGCAAAAAATAAATTGAACAATAGAGTTATACCTAAAAGCCTAGCAGCAATGAATCAGACTATAGAGACGTGTACCAAATATGATCAGAACAATCCTTTAAGGTAAAGCATGGTGCAGAAAGATAACAGGAGTTTACTTGTAGTCTACATTCTGTGTATCGCATTGCAGCAGGAGGATCAGAATCAATTGAACCAAAATTTCCATGTCCTTGAATGAGTGGGCTCCTTAGAGAGAAATCCTTCAAAACAAAGCAACAGTTTCCAGTTGATTCTTGAGTTATTTCAACATATAGATAAGCCAAGGAAAGAAGCTTGCAGCAGAGTAAATCATATAAAGACTATGCATCTAAATAAAAAATGCAGGCATGGCTTCTTCAATGTAATGAGAATGTGGTTTTCAAACAGTGGCTCGAGCTTAGTTACTTTCTGAAAGATCTGTACATATATTCTCCAAGTCTATTGTATATGGGCTTTGAGCCGTTTACATTTACCAAAAAATCAAACATCATGCCAACAAGAATAACCACTTAGACATAGAAAGTATGATCATAATAACACTAGCACTTAAAACAAATCTATATATAGCCAAAAAATATCATGACAATAATATACTTGACAGATCTTCATACAAAGGTGTCCAGCACTTTTTCAAGAAAGACAAGTCCTTTTTTATGGAAAAGAAAGAAAAGTTCTCTTGCCAAAGGAATAAATGATCAACATTATTTCAAAAAGAATTCTTTCAAGAGCCTAATAAAGACAATATGCCTTGACATTTTTCAATGATAGATTTATATGAAACAAATTTGGAGGAAGCATCATCCTTGGATTTTAAAACCCAAAACACAGGCACTCAACAAATGTACCTACAGAGCCAAGCCTCATTTGACTTTTCTTTCTAGGCCCACTTGAAAGAACATCTCTTCTAGAATTCACTCCACAATCGCCACCTTGTCGGCCACTTCAGATAACAATGAAATTTTTTCTACATGCCGCATGCATTATGACATGAAAAACTTAAACGCAATTCCAGATTATAAGAAAAAGATCACATCAACATTCATCATAAAGCTAACAGACATAATGTCCTCATTGGAAGACCAATGAGAGCATGCTGGAAGTTGAAGTTACACTCTTCATCAAGATGACTTTAGGCAATTTTCACAGACAAAATTGACCAAATATCATTTCTCAAGAGGCCTAAATACATGGAGATGATCATTTGAACAAGGCATACTCAATTGACAAACCCCCACATCTGATTTCCTTCATTAACTCAGAAGGTGAAAACCCATGCAACAGCAACAATCAAAAGAAAGCTTGCAACAAATTATGACCAATTAAAAGCCTAAAGAAACAAAAGAGTTGATGATCCACTGAATAGTATGAAACTATGGCACGTATCTGTCTTACCTGTGCCATTCGCACCAATGACTCGTAAACAGCAACATCTCCATGCGGATGAAATTTTCCTAAGACCTTCAGTGTAAATATAACATATCATGTGTTCAGCTTGCCAAAGGGCACAAAGATTTCAAGATATCAATCAGATTTCTGTTCAGTTTTTCTAACCTCTCCGACAACTCTAGCACACTTTTTGAAAGGTTTTCTAGATGAAAGGCCCAATTCATGCATTGCAAATCTGCACCCAGAACGTCATACAAGCCGGTCAATATCAAGGTCTCAAGACCAAGTTAAAGTGTGCAATCTCCTTAAAGCACAAATCTTTTGAATCATAATGAGATTGTTGGGGATTGGAATGGAGTTTTATACCATCAGTATGAGACTCCATAGCATTAAATGCTCAACCAAACATTGGAATGGATTCTACAACATTCCCAAAGGCCCAAACAAACAACATGGTATGGGTTCCCAATCAATTCCATTCCAATTCGTTGAACCAAACGACCACTTAGTGCAAAATACACACTACACTGCACAATGTTGAAAATGGGTTTATTTCTAACAATTTAAAGAACAAGTACTCCATATAAGAACACTATACGCGATTAAATTCTATGAAAATTAAGCCGAATTAGCTCAATGCAAGTACACTACACTAGCTTTTTGCAAATTCTATAGTCAAATGAAGTCAATATTCCAATATCCTGTTCAAATAACTACAGTAAAAGCATAAATTCCCCAAAATTTTCCCAAAAATAAAAAATCAAATTTAAAAAAAAAAAAAAAAAAAAAAAAAAACACACACACACACTATACTCACAGAATTCTCCGATGAACAGGCTTAAGTCCATCACGAACATCGGGCAAAGCTCGTCCGAGCAAAACCGACATAGCATACGCCATATAAGCCTCAGTAGCCTCCTTATGAAGCTCAGTAGGTACAATCCTCTCACCACTAATACCCCTATCCAAAAGAGAAACACTACCACTACCATCTTCTCCATTAACAGCCCCTGCTTCACTCTCCTCCCTTCGCTTTGCTTGAATCGTTGGACGCCGAGGATTTTTAACAGAGAAGAAACGGAGCTCCGAAAATGGCCGAAGCTTCGAGAAACTAGGGGACCGCCATAAATGGTGGTTGTAGCAGCGGAAGAGGCGAATGCCGGCGGTAGAGAAAGCCATGGAAGAAGGATTTGAAGGAAGGAGGTTGCAATTGAAGGAATGGATGTTCATTCCATTGAAAAATGGGGGGAAATGGAAAGGATTTGAGAGTAGAGAATGAGAGGAAAGAGATTGTCTGGATAATATTAAACCCTAAAATTAGGGTTTATGTTAAAGCTTTTTGGTTTTGCGCGCCATTTTTTTTTTTTTTTTTTTTTTTGGTTACTTAATTTTTTTCATAATGCTTTTTTAGTTTTAACGAGTCTATATTGGTTTGTGTTATGCACAAGTTATATACATATAGAAAATTTGGAGAAGTTCAGTTAGTAATTTTTTGTCCATTGCAATTTCAATGAATGCTTTTCGAAAAAATTTTGTAATCGTTGCAGGGGTGACTAAATCTATTGAGGTTTTCTTAATCTTTACTAAGTAGAGTCCACTTGGTCTCTACTCACCAACATTTTTGGCAGTATTCGTTTGGTATTGTTTTTAATGTCATTGGTGTACCAAAAACAACCAAGACAAGCCTAGTTGGTATTCTTCTTTGGTACCAACGAACTTCTAATTGGTATATCTTTTGATATCAACGACTCTGTAATTGGTATTTTACTATATGTCTATATATATTAATATAGATTAACGCCCACCTGTGTCTATGATGGAAATTCTTAAACAGAAAGATAACTCATTTGATATATAAAGTTCAAGGGGATAACTTCCCTTCTTTATGAGAAACTTTTATTTAACTTGAAAAGATTACAACACTCAATATATATATATATGTTTGTGTGTGTGTATTATATATATATATATACACACACACACACAACAAACAAACAAACTGAAATCTTAAACAGACATAAGCTGAACTAGAGTTTTCTCTACTTAAAGAGATATGGAGAACCAATATGTCTCTTACGGTTATTATTTTTCTCTAGAGGTCTCTCTAATGCTTTCAAAGGAATTCTCTAGCTAACTCTTCCAACTCTGCCTTCACTTCTTTGCCTAAGCTCTTTATATAGGGGAAGAATCACAAAGGTCATTGACACTTCTATGGCTTACGGAAACCATGACTCAGCAAGTGAATATTGTTTACTGCTTTTCCAAAGATTTTATAAAACAAAAAAAATGTGCTACAACAGTAAAAGTAGAATACATTATTGCTGGTGTGGGCTCAGGACTTCATCACATCTTGTAGACCACCATTAATGTCTTCATAATGGACATACATTTGGTTGTCTTCTTCTATACTGAGATCCATCACACATTTGGCAGCATAAGATTCATCCCATGTGACAAAGATCTCCAATAAGTGTTTTTTCCTTCTAAAGATAAATAATTTCTAGCTTAAACTTGTTCAAGATAATCATACACTGATCCACCATGTAATACTCCTTCTAAATAATTTCTTAACCATTAAGGTGCTACTATACTATTGTAGTATTTCCCACATGTATTATGACGGGTGGTTCTTCCTTTATTGTTATATATGAATTGGTTAAGATACTGAGCAATATAGAATAATCCATAAGCTCTTGCCTCTGTAGGATCTTTTACTCATCTCTGCTGGATATAGATTGGATCTTTGAATTTGCGATGAACATCTTCAACTTCCTTTGTATCTTGTTGCATCATAAATTATCCTAAATACATACTTTTGGAATTTTGTAAGCTTCTCAAAGAAAATAGTATTATTATCAGGAAATGGTACAATACTATTAACCATTCCATAATCCCAAGCTCGGTAGTGCTTCGCCACATATGGTCCCCTCCATTCCAGAGATCGAATGTGGATGAATTGACACAGTACCCACTCTGGAATTAGTGTTGAACATTATTCTACTTCCCCATATATCATAAACATCATACAACTTGTATCACCTTGATACAACTAAATTGTACCAGAATTTAAAATCGTTATCGTTTATTTTATTTAGTATTATATCCTGAATATCAGGAATGAGTCGCAGGATAATGACTATTACTTCGTACATTAGAAACCTTCAAACTGCTACATGACAACTTTTAATCAAATCATCTCGAGATCTCCTCTTTGATGAAACAATCATGGCCTCCATCAAGGCCCAGGCTAAGTGGAGGGTGAAACCCGCTCCATTGCTTTATTAATTTCTTTAATAAGAGTTTTTCTCTCTGCCTCCATCTTATCTAGTTGATGGGTAGAAGGTTTTTCTGATGTCTTGTGCTTGTTCGTCATTGGCTAATTCTCTAGTAAAACTATATGCCAAAGAATTCTTCGAGCCCTGTATATGTTCAACAATAAAAGAGAATTGGTTAAGCCATAATTGCCAATGTAGGAGTCTCCCTTTGTAATACTCTGTATTATTTATGTATTTAATAAATTATTTAAGTATTTATAAAATATATTTTTAAGGGCTCGGGTATTTTAATTAAATATTTTAAAGGGTTAAAGTATTTTAATTATAAGGTTTTATAAAAGTAAAATATATTTTGGGTCAAACGTTTACCAATTATTGGGTTTTATTTATAATATCATATGTAAACTAGTCCTACATACTCTTATTGGAATAACCTATTTCATTTAAATAAGTTCAACCCTTCATTTGAGCCCTTGTGGGTCAAATATCCCATAGCTTAAGTCCATTTATTTATTGAGCCCAAACTTAAACCCTATTCTCTACTATATAAATACCTCTCAAAACCCCAAAATTTTCCCACACAAAGAGGCTTATAAATCATATTTTTGTGGTAAGTATTTTTTTTTCCCTTTTCTTTATTTTTCATTATTTTCTTTTCTTCTTTTTTTTATACTTTTCTTATTTTTTTTCTTTCTTTGTCCTTGCTTTTTTGGGATTTCATGCGCGAAACTTCCATGCATAGGAATTAGGAAGTCACGCATGAATCCTTTTGTTGTCATCGAACTCCCGCTGCCATATCATCAATCATCAATGGTCGGCGTGCCACGTTACCCTTCCGGCGTCCCATGCCCAACCGCCGGCCAGCCACCCATGGTGGTACTTCCTTTCTCTCTCCTTTTTTATTTTGTTTTAATTAGTATTCTTATACTTTATATTTTGGGTATTGATTTTATTTGTTTAAACATGATTAATATGTTTTATAATTGTGTTTTAATGATTAAAGATTGTAAATTTTAGATTATAAATGTTTAATTTTCATATTTTATAAAGTATTAAAAGTTAGGGTTTTAATTATTAAAGTGTTGATTTTTAGGGTTCTAAACTTGCAATTGATTTGGGGGTTTTATATATCCATTGATTGTAAGTGATAATAATGCTTAAAGATTGAATCTTTATGAAGTTTTAATAGGTTTTTGATTAGATTATTATGCTGGAATTTTGCCCAAAGTACTAATTTTGATGATTTTATGAAAAGGGTTTAATTACCCATTAAAGAATTGAAGAGATTAATTAAGGGTTTTACTATAATTTTCAAATTATTATAAGTTGTTTAAAGTGAGTTTAAGTTGCTAAAAACTGTGTATACAAAAGGGTAAATAATATAGTATTATTGTCCCTCTATGTAGGAGACTTGGTTCGAGAGGTGTTGTAGTGTATTTGGCCACTTTAAGGGCTTAATTGAGGTACATTTGCGTACTTAGCATATTTTTGATGATGTAGTATCATGCTAAGACTGTGATTGGAAATTGTGGATTTATTGATAATGGTGATTGAATTATGAAGCATAATTTATTTGAGATGGATTAATGATTGGAAAATTATTGTTTGGCATGTTGTATATGAACCACACTTTTATTTATGACATGATAGAAAACATGTTTAATTAAACTATATGTTTAATTGAGTTTGGAATATTGAAAAGGAATGTATTATGGTTCATATAATTTTTATTTATGCTTTAAGCATGAGGAAAGAGCTATTTAAGTGTCTTTGTACACAAGGATTAAATTATATTTTGGTGCCTTAGTGCACTTAAGGTGTTTTCAACACCGAGAGATAGGATTTGCGGCGCTTTATGCGTTTAAGGTGTCTTTGACACCGAGGTAGATTTAAAAAGGGTTCAACATTAATTATTATGTAGTCACTAATTATTGAAGAATTAAATTGGTATGTTTGATTGTTTGAATAATTATGATGATTGATTGTGTTATGGTTTGACAGTCATCACCAAGTCTTAAAATATGTAAACAGCGTAAAGTGAAAGAGATTACGCACCAAAACTATTGGAACATATATACGTTGAGTATGAACACATGGGGGGAGTTATGGGGTTTTATATTTAATCATAACTTCTATTGGAGTACAAGACATTGTACATTCCTTTTTATTAATATGCACAGGAATTCCACCATTTACGAGTGGTTCTTTTATACCGGCATGGTTAGCTCCCCTGTTAGTACCCATTTATTGGGGCAGGTTAGGGGTAAACCCGTTCGATGCGTAATCAAGCTAAATAAAGTAGCTATGTATTAGTTGGTCATTGAGTATGTTGTATGCTTGTAAACAGGTGCAACAAGCTAAGATAAGTTGTGTGATGATAGGGTGAAAGCATGTTAGTGTGTTTTATTTACGCTTATGTACTCAGCATTGCTGATTGTGTGTTTGTATGTTTGTTTGGCCTTATCTTTAATTTGGCCCTACGACGACCCATTTCTAATGACGAGTATCAGGGACAAGTAGAGAGGAGCTTTTCAGGCGATGAAGCATATTTATGAAGAGCATGAGTGAAGAGCGAATCATGCTTAGTTTCCATAGGAATATGATGTGTTTTATTGCTTTAAATATAGTTTATTTATTTATACTTGTGAGACTGACAAAATGGTTTTGGTATTGCTCGCTTTTAATAAGGGCTTACAATGGTTCCAAGTTGTAGGTTGACTTCGTTTTGCTTTGATTTAACTTTACTTTTGTTTGGTTGACTTTTTAAGTTGATTGCCTTGTTTTGAATGGTTTTAAAGATAGTCTTCCGCTGTGTGTCTTGGATAATTGCCTTAGTTGTTTTCACGGTGGTGGCAATGTCTTAGATTTTTCTATTTTGGGTTTTAAAAAGAGCAAAACAAGTATTTTAAAGGAAAGCTATTTTCATTTTAGGGTGTTACATCCTTGCGCTTGCATATTAGACAAATTGTTTTTTACATATCCAAGTATGCCTTTGCTTTATGTTCTTATTAAGAACTTCTTAGGGGCTAAGAAGATTAAGAATTTCTCGATCCCTCAAATGACTGCAAGGATTTCCTTTTGCACTATAGGATAATTTAACTCAGCTTTATTAAAACTTCCACTACTATATCTGCAAAGTCTTTCTCCTTCTTTGAGTTTTAACACAGCACTCTAGTGCTCATTACTAGCATCCATTTCAAGGATTAAATTATCCTCACTAGTCGGTAGTGTTAGTACAGGAAGATCTTTACACATAGCTTTTAAATCTTGAACAATTTTGGAATCACTTTCCTTCTAGTTTCAAG